ATATGGTAATACGGCAACTTTAAGTCATAGTCTGCCCCATAGTTAGTTATGGCACATTAGTTATTCGCACATAGGATAACAAATTCGTACGGGTATCATAGAGTTGACAAGGTCAACTCTATTTTTTTTCTCGTTTTTATGTAGTGGTTTCTTATCCTTCCGATAATTCCTGATCACTTAACATGTTTAAACGTACACAAAACCTGTCTGTGGCTAAAAGAAATCTGAAAATACTAACGTAAAAACTCTAAAGGCAAGTAGCAAATCACCTCGATCCCAATATACGTCACAATTGAGCATAATTCTCTTAAACATCGGTTATTATTATCATATTTGTGATGAACTGCAACTCATTCTTTAAACTTATTTTTAAAAAATTTCAAAGCATTTTTTATAAGCCATTTTTTATTTATTATCATTTATTTAATTTTTTATTTGTTAAATGATTGCCAAAAAGAAATAAAAAAACAAAAAAAAATTTATTTAGTTAAAGTTAACAAATCATTTAAGATATCCTTTGAGATTATAAGTTTTTTTTTTTATCACAAGACTTAAAAAAATGAATTGTCATAAAAAACGGTTTCCAACTTGCCTCCCCCATTTTTAACATCGTAAATTTGTTTTTAAATGTCATATGTATGTATTCATTATTCAGCCTACATTTTAACAAGATATATATAAACATAACTCACCGAAGCAAAATGATAGTTACACAGGAGAGGTTTAAGATTCTTATGCCAAACACAAAATATCTGGAAACTACAATAAATGATTCGATATGAGAACATTATTTAGAAAACTTATTTGTCTTGTTTTACCCGCACAGTGAGAGCAAATCTCTAAACTTTAACTTTGTAAGTATCCGGGAGCACAAAGTTGAAGAAGCTGCTAAAATTGAATTTAATTTATCGGAATACCTAAATCAGTTTGTTTGCGGACAATTTATACAATTTTTCAAAGATTTTGAAAATTTTCATAAGAACCTTTATTTACGGAAAAAATTCCAAATTACTTTAAATTTTCAAATTTTGTAAAAATGAAGAATTTTTTGCAAATATTTGCAAAAAAAAGATTTTATTTGCCGAAATATGCAAAGATTTATTGGCGTTATCGCCTGCTGTTGTTGCTGTTATTGCAGCTTTTGCCGTTATTTGTATAGAAATTTCAGATTTCTTTACAAAAGGAAAAATTTAACGTAATATTAGTCAAATGAAATTTCATAAATCGAAATTTTAAAAATTTGTGTGAGGAAAGCGTCTGCGTCCTTATTTTTTACAAATGAAGTGTGAAGATTAAAATAAACTTTTTTTCATCTATTTTTCAGATTTTTCTAAAACAAAAGCAGGCCAACAACCCTGTAGCTATACAAATATATGGTTCTTAGGTTTTGCTTTATTAAAGTAAACCCCCAATAGTTGATAAAATCTACCTAGTCAAAGAAAAATTTCAGAAAGTACTAAGCGACTACCTTTTACGGTTAATTTTTTTATATCTTTTAAAATATCAAAAGTATTATAAACTTGATATCGAAATTCAAAGTTATTATGAGATTATTATATTCAGGACTAAGTTATGAGAAAATAAACAAAAACGAGAAAAAAAATAGAGTTGACCTTGTCAACTCTGTGATAACCGTACGAATTTGTTATCCTATGTGCAAATAAAGATGCCATAACTGACTAAGGGACACATTAATTTATGCAAAATTTCAATACTGTCTGTTTTTCAAAATACTGTGTGTGCCAAACTACTATTTAAGTTGTATGGCAGCTACCAGAAAAAGCTAAGAAATTTTAACAAATTTTATCAAAAACATTGGCCCTAGTAATATATTCGCTTGTGTGAAATTTCAATACCATAGCTTTTATAGTTTCTGAGATATAGCCAAATAACTTTTGAAGTTGTATGGCAGGTACCAGAAGGAGCCAAGTAATTTCAACGACTTTCATGAAACACATTGGCCCTACTAATATATTCATTTTTGTGAAATTTCAATACCACAGCTTTTACAGTTTCTGAGATATAGCCAAATAACTTTTGAAGTTGTATGGCAGATACCAGAAGGAGCCAAGTAATTTCAACGACTTTTATCATACATATTGGCCCTACTAATATATTCGTTTGTGTGAAATTTCAATACCACAACTTTTATAGTTTCTGAGATATAGCCAAATAAATTTTGAAGTTGTATGGCAGCTACCCGAACCGGTACCCCGATCATGTCCAATTTAAATAGGGTTCTGGCACTTACTACAATAAATCATTTGTGAAAATTTGGTGAACTTAGCTCAATTAGTTTTTGAGTTATCGTGGGGACGGACGGACGGACGGACGGACGGACAGACAAAGCTAAATCAACTCAGAATTTGACGCTGATCAAAAACATACACTTGAGTCTATATCTAAGACCGTTATTTCTTAGCGTTACAAACGGTAAGGCAAATTTAGTATACCCTTCGAACATACGTTCGTACGGGTATAACAACAAAAAAAAAATACAATATAGGACATCGAAAAAATAACAATTTTTGTTCACTGACCAACAATCGCACAATTTTTGTTTTTTTCTTCTTTGCGTGTTCTTTGTTTGCTTAAGTTGAATTTCGTATTCAGCTCATGTTTACCTTTTTCTTTTCAAACTGTTTTACGTGTTTTTTTGCTTCTAGCCTTCTTTTTTTTTATACATAAGGACAATAATTCCTTTTGAGTAATTTTGAACTATGACTTTGCTATAATTTTTAACCAGTTAAATAAATGCCCACATATGGACATTAATCTTTTGTTGTTATAACAATTCGATTTGTCATGATGGATTCATAGTTAATTCTAACTGCGATATAACTTTGATTGATTGTAACAACATGGGAATTTCAAATTTATTTTTTTTTTGAATTTTATTGTTTGCTTTTCTATTTTGTTTTTTTCTTAAACTGTACTTTCACTTAGAAATTTTGCTGTTCCGATTATTCCTAAGGGAAAATCTTCAATTATTTGCGTTGATGATTTAAGGAATTAAAGGTATAGCTAAATTTGAGAAGTGTTGATTTGCAATTTAATATTTTGTTACATTGTCGAAAATCGTTTATAGTTTTGATTCTTAATTATTTAAAAATGATTGGCAAAAAAAAAATTAAATATTACTTGTTTGGAAAATTTCCCCGATTGCAAAATAATTGAAATATTAGGAAACGATTTATTCATGTACTAGTAGGAAATGAAACGTGTCTTCTTGTGTACTGAATGAATTAATATTGAGTGTCGGAAGATCAGTATACACGAATACAAATGAGTGTTGCCGATTAATCGGTTAAATTCACATCAAGTGGCCACACAGAAAATAACTAACACTGAAATTGTCAATTTAGGGAATGCTCCAAATAACCAAGTTTCAAATTCAATAAATCGTCGACCTCCTTTTTGCAACGATCTCCATTAACAATATCGTGATATCTATCCCATTTGTGAAGAAATAAGATCTCATGTGTCAAATTGAATGGTGTGATCAATGCACTTCATCACTGATCACAATTATGCGATGAAACAACATTTATTACATTAAAAGTCGACTTATATTTTTCAAATTAAATTTAAAAGTTCATTTAATATTAAAAAGCGACTGCAGCATCATAGCTAACTACGCAATTTAGTTTTTACAGCTTCAAATGCTTAAAGTATATAAGATTTCGAATTTTTTATAAAATTTAATACCTAAAAGTTCTTTTCATACTTTTAACGGACTCATCGCAAAAAATGTTAAAATTAAAGTTTCTTGCCTCATTATAAGCTATGCAACCATAAACGATGAATCGATTTCTTGTAGTATATGAATCGATTTCAAAATAGTACAATGAAGCTTAACCATAAGACTCAAACGAAAAGGAACTCAATAATTATACAATTATTTGGCATTCATGAGTTCAAATGTATTTGGAGGTTATGTAAAATGAAAAACATGAGATCAAACAAATTACTGATTCAGTGTTTGAGATTTCTCTTTTGTTAAAACGGACGGGCCGGACCGAATCTGCTCTGTCTTTCCAGTTTCCGGGCATTTTTCAGGGGAATTAAATAAACATTAATATATATAGATCTAAATCGTTGTAACTACAATAAAACTTTGTAAAATTTCTTAAAATATTTTTTTATTGAACAGTCTTTATTAAAGCATTTCTGCATCAAGGTTCCTAAACTAGACATCACTGCCGGATAAGTTTTCTAAAAACTCTTTACTGCTAGCCATTTTTACTGTTCTTATTAGATATTATAAGAAATACTTCCTAAAATCAAAACTATGCTGTTGGAACAACAGGCTACAACAGATGTTGAAACAACAGGCACCAAGAAAAAATAACACAATGTGCGGAAAATAAAAAAGCTAACGCAACGTACCTAAAACTCAATGAAAAATGTAAATCTACGTGGCTCGTCCGTTAAGTGTTAAACTAAATAATAAAAAGCCCTTATATTTAAAAAATTTTGAAATATTTGTTTACAATTTTTCTACATTTGTCAAAAATTTTCTATATTTATTATAAAAATTTTACCATACGAGTAACTTACATATCTAGGACCACATTATTTCTTTGCTTTCATGATTATACGCACCACGAAATTTACAACAGTTGTAAAACATTTTTAATACACTTCGATTTGCAATGCCTTTTAAAATGAAAATTTGTAAAATATTTGTAAATTATTAACCATATTATTATTAGCCTTGTTAACTCAATTTAATCCTTTTCCATGTTCAATATAATGATCAACAACCGTTATATTAAGAACTTGGCTATCAAACATAATTTCCTCATTTTTTATTACAAAATTTGAAAAAAAGAGTCATGATAGGAATTTCGCAGCATGATTTTAAATTTATATATTTTAAAAAATATTAAATGCTATGAATACCAAATATTTACAAGTAAAATTATTTAAAGGATATAGGGTTAAATAAAGAAATGACCCTTTGACCAATTTCTTTCTACATTATACAATATATGTAGTTGCTATGATAATAAGGATGATGATGATGGTCATGTTATTCGAGAATGATTAATGGACAAAATAGCCTTAAGGGTATAAAAGTGTAAAATTACTTATGTATAATGCTTTTTGATTATTTTAATGCTCAAATGAGTATCAAATTTTCAGTAAAAAAATATTTCTTAGAGTCCATTAATTCTTTCACATTATAGTTAAATGATGTTAAGTTTTAAAGATTAAATGAAATTGAAAATTACAAGCACGTTACATAACACTTTTTATTTTAATCAACATGTTAAATTTAACATTTTAAAAATATTAAAAAAAAATTTTTTTTTGTTTCAGATATTTCATATGTGATAATATTTAATTATTCAAAATTGTAAACGTAAGGACATCAGGAATATTTGATTCTTACATGAACTTATATTGGAACTAATACTGAGGAATACTGAAAAGTTTTCCCTCTGAAATTTTACTTTAATAGTATAGAAAGAAAAAAGTGAGTAGACTTTTTTTTTAAATTTCTAGTATTAGTTTTTTTTCTAAAATCATCACAATTTCACAAAATTTACCAGGGCCTTTTTAAGGTTTTGAAAAAAGTATACTTTTTTTATCAATATAATTAGTTATTGAGACTTGTTGCAGCAGAAGCTTTGCATGTTTCTTGCCTCACTTAGAGCCCACATTTAGTTTGTATTTTTGGGAGAAAATTGAAAATATGGCGAAATATTGAGCGTACGTAGCACAGAGGCTTGGTTACACCCATATTATAAAAATTTTGTCAACTTAAACAAAGCACTACTTTCCATTTTGTTAATGCAAACATTTTAACGAAGCATTCAAATCTATATTCTTTAAAAAAAAAAACAATTTTCAATGCGCATGAAGAAACAGAGAACACCTCCAAAAAAATCTCGATGTTTTTTACAAAGTTTCAAAATGCATTGCCTCAATATAACTTGTAATACTGCATTACAGCTAACTAACACTGCATTACATTTAATTTTTTTTTGCATAAACGACTTGTTTTTGACTTATTTATTTTTTACCTGAAAAGTAATAGAGTTTTTAAGTTTAAAGACAAGTTGTGAAACGTTAAAATCATATTCGAATATTGAAACATGCATACAATCTCTGCAATTTAAATTCTAAATTCTTTTCGTAATGTAAAAACAATTATCTGTAAGGAATAATTGTAAGAAGCTGCAATTTTAATAATATTAAAGTTTAATAGCTAATTAAAGGCGTTTTGAAAACTGATTTTGTTAAAATCTGGAAATCAAAGGTTATAAGCACATTGTAAATGGAACAATGACTAAAAATGGAAAACTTATGTTTTGTAATTTCATGTAATTTATTTATAAAAAAATTTAAAACTGTATTAATGGCTCATGAACTATGATTTTGCCCGTCAATTTTTAAAAAACTCCTCTTACGAACTAGAATGATCGATCTTTTAGAAGTGTAGACAGCTCGCGACAATTGCCGAATCTTATAAGACCTTTTCACTGTCAATTCGCATTACCCTATTCGATTATTTTGTTCCAGACCTTTTTCGACCCTTCTCCGAAATAAAAGGTAAATATGAAATTTAAAAGAATTTTAGTAGAATTTTGATGTATAACTTCATATTTTTAAGCAATTGAAAGAAAATTTATTTTCTTTTCAACATTTCAATTCTTTTCCCTTTTTCATCTTGCATCGTAATTAACAGAGCGTTTTTTGGTTAATCTTCGTATGAAGGTTATTTTGGCCGAAATTAAAACACTTTTTTTTTGTTTCTTTATTTTCTTTTTTTTTTGTTACGTAATGAAAATTCCCGAAATTCATTGAAATAGATAAAGGGTTAAAAATTTTAAATTATTTACAATTTTTATAATCCTTTTAGATTCTTTATTCAAAAATTTCAAAATTAAAATTGGTCAAGATGAGCCCCACGGCAAAAAACTTTTTTTTGTATTATATGAGCTCACTGTATAAAATTTTCACAGTTAAAATTAAGAATTCTGAACAACACTTGTTCAAGTATTTTTACTAATTGCAAATGCTTAAAGCAATAAAAATTTATTATTTTTTTTCTTCTTGTATTATAATTTTAATTTTCTTTTTTTTTTAATTTTAAATGAATTTTTGAATTTTACGTGATTGTACTCGTAAGATTACTGAAACCATAGTAAATTAATTGATTTTTTTCAACTATTCTTCTAAAAAATAAATATTAACATAGAACAGAAATAAATTTACCAGGAAATTAATCTAATATATGGTTGATTGATTCCTTCTTATTAATATTAGGATTTAAGGAAGTTCCAAGTATTTTATGAGCAAAAAACTAACCAAATTACATGAAAATAAAAGAGCATAAACTAAACAACGTGTTTGTATACATGCCTACCTGTTTTTAGCTTGGAAAAGCCGATTTACTCCAAAACTTAATTCTAAACTAAATTAATCCAAAACTGAATCGGTTCCCTGACCGCAATATTATTCAAAGTCTACATTTTATATGCACAAAAAATTGTATTTTGAGTATAGAAAATTGCACAGCTAATGCTTCACTGACGTAAATATCTTAAAGTAAAAAATCAGTACAACATTGGCAAATTTAAAAATTTTATTTTTTCAATAATAATATCTATATAAATGCAATTCATATTACAGTGTTTTATCGAATATATATACATAATTTGAAGCAAAGATTCGCTTCACCGAAGATTCGAAAGCCCTATATTTAGTTGTTTCTTTACATTTCTCTAATATGTAGGGAAGTAAGTACATTGTCATTGTAAACTAGACGTTTCAATGAATATGATTCAATTACCATACTTTCCTCATTTTATGAATTACGGAAATGAACACATAACCTAAAATGCTTAAGTAAAGAACACATTAAGTTAAAAATTAATTTTTTATATGTTTTTTGTTCAAAGTACTGCAAACAATGACTGATGTGCAGGGCTGTTGTTTTGGCTCCAACAGAAGCTTTTTGCTCCTTTTTGTTCACTTATGCTCCGGTATAACATAACTTAAATTCTTTACGATATTCAATAGTAGCTCTATAATCTTATATAAAGAAAATTAACTTCAAAACACGAAAATAACAACTCCATACAAACATTTTCGTCGTAGAGTTTCTAATTTTAATTTATACATATATCTTGATAACTGGATGTTGAATATATATTACTTTCAGATAGTTGTATGATGTATGTCTTTTATACAAATGTTAAATGATATGTTAGTTTGGTCATCCTTAAGTAATAATTTAAAAAAATTTCGCAATGAAATAAGTATAGTTGAGTTAACGCAAATGGTACGGTATAGCATAGTATTGCAAAATCGAGGGCCCCCTTTAAAATTTTTAAAATCGACTACTCCGTAGAGCTGTGGAACGGCAACACTGCTTAGCTGTTCTTCTCAAATCAGATTCACATTAGAAACGAATAATAATTCTGTCTTTTCGGGCTAGCAAAATGTACACGTTTTCAAACATAAATTTGAGTATTTTCCCTTTTGTCCCTACAATTTTTAAAAAATTTCGTATGAGTTTTTTTGACGCATCACATACATCAATCCATACGAGTACTTTCCATCAACTTAATAATAAATAAGTCATTGGCTTAATAGTAACCATAAGAATTTTTACTCTTAAACATAGCTGAGATTTTAATGTTTTCATTTCCAAATTTTTATGTTCTTATTATAAATTATCAATTTAATATATAGAACAATTCATTCTCTATTTTAATAAAATCGAAATCGAAAAAAAAAATTTATTTTGTTATACCCAAAACAAAATCGAAATTGCAAACTATATTGAAACCCTTTTCGAATCTCGCTATACTACATCGCTAATACCAAATAATCTGGTAAAGATTACAACTTTCCTTACCCATTTTATAATGTTTTATGATATTATTTATGTTTGTACATAATTTTTTTTGAAGTTGAAAATTCATTTCAATTCAACTTTTATACAAGTATTTTCAATAAAAAACGTAAAAAGTCAACAAAATTAAAAGAGAATAAAATAAATATTTTCAATTTTCAAGTATCCTTTACGAAGATCCTTAATACACATTATTCATATTAACATATTAATGTTACAAAAAAAGCCAAACAAAAAAAAGAAAAACTAAAAACAGAAAATTAAATAAATCTTTTATTTTTAAAAGGACCTGTCGTTAACAAAATGCGTTAAAAAGCCAAATAGAATAAATAAGAAAACACAAAATCGCAACGCATTATTCATATATGTATAGAAAATGTAAATAATATGTATGTTAAGGACTTTAGTTTAGAAGAGGTCTTAGAATTGTATTAACTTTTGCCCACCTTCAAGAAATAATACTTATGTATATGAAAAACTGTAAATAAATGAAAAAATAAGAGTCATACATGATTTATTCGTTGCCCAGAGCTAACCCGAAGAATGATTTTTTTTTTGTCTTCCTTTTAAAATAACAAAACCAAAAACTAAATTTAAGAAAATACAAAAATAAACCACGAGAATAATACAAACTCCGTATGGAATTATATAAATTTGCATTGTTCGAATGTTGTGTGGGGGAGCGTCACATATATAAAACGAATTTTGTGTGAAATTTTAAAATCAAGAAAATAAGTCGTAAATCTTATAAAAGCTAGGAATATATTAAGGAAATTTTCGGAAAAATTTATAAAATGAAGCCAATATCAAACAATATACTAAACTTCAAAGGATAAGACTCAAATATACCAAATATAAATCATGATGTTGTCATGTTTTCTATGTAAATAACCACCATCGTAACTACTTCCTAGCCAGACTCTATAGTCTACATAATAATATATTGGTGACAGATATTTTCTGTTAATATATATGTGTAGTGAACAGGTGATTTAAAAGTTTTTCTTGCTCTATATTTAAATTCATTTATCAGAATAGTTAAAGAATAATGTGTTACTGACATATCGAGGACATATCTATTAAATTGATATTATTAAGTTCAGTATATTTAAATCACATTTAACGAGGTAATGAGTTTTTTAACATTTTGCCGAATTACTATAAGGGATATTGTATT